ACGATGCCCTGTCTCTGTTGATGGTTGCGTGGTGCATCACCATCACCAATGTTCCGTGGTATACCAACTCCTTGATTATCTTGATCTTGTGGTTCCATGGCTACTGGATTGTGCGATTCACAGTTGTCTCGGGCTCTACCTTCTCTTAACTCACGAGCTAACCGATCGATGTTATCTTTATAGCTGATGAGGTTGTTGGAGCCTTTAGATCGAGTTTGCATGCAGAGTGGTCAGACTCGATGTGGCAGTCTCGACGTGAGGTCGAGATGGTACCTAACAATGCAGAGTGGTCAGACTCGAGGTGGCAGTCTCGACGTGAGGTCGAGATGGTACCTGGAGCACAAAAACAAGCAGATGAAATGAAGAGTTAGTAACCAAGGTAAAGAAAGAACTTGATCTTAAACGTTTCTGAAATCTTAGATGGAACAATGCAACACAAGACTGGCAACGGCGCCAAATTGATAGTAGAATTTTCTCTATCTAACAAGTATCAATCCCTAATACACATGCCATTGTAGTATATTAGGTTATCAATCCAATCTCAGTGTGACTGCAAGCATTCAAGATATGGAACAGAAAGCAAATAAGTCAAGCCAATTGTGAAAGGGTTTTGTGTGTTTCTATTGATCCTAAGCAACCAATTTAACATGCAAATACCAGATTTAAAAGCATAAAAAGAGAACTAAACAGCAAGTAAACAAGAACAAGAAGTAAACTAAAGACCAGAAACTATCATGCAAAAGCTTTGGAAAAGAAACTAACAACCTAACAATGCAGAGAAGCGCTCTAGGCCTAACAGGTCGAGTAGAACACAAAGACTAACAGAAACAAGATTTAAACAATCAATAGAGATAAAAGGGTCCTGAGGAATGGGGTAATCGATTATAGCAGTCTCCTTAGTCTATCTAGGTGGTTAACAAACTCAATCAAGCTATCCCTAGACAATAGATTCGAATACAAATCAATCCACTCTCGTGACAGAGATTCTCAAGCTAAATCACTTTCATACTCAATTCTCATTGAAGAAATATAACCTAGTAGGCATTAAGATTCAATCTAATAGAGTCAATAAGCATTCTAAACATCCAATCTCTTGGGCTAGAGTATGCAAATCTCTGGAAAAGTTTGTTCAGACATTTCATCAAACACCTTTTGGGTGTGGAAATGTCTGAGATCAATTTCCAATTGATCAGAGAAGAAATAGCATTAAGATCTACTAAACCAGAAGGGAAATCAAGCAATTCTACACTTAACCACCTAAATATACTAAGGATTCCACACCTAATCTATCCCATCCTCAAGAACCCTAATCCACTACTCAAGAACACTGAAGAACATCATGCATAAAAACCCAGAAAACGTTTCAAATCCAGAAATCATTGAAAAGCAAGTATGTTATAGATAAGAGACAGATCTACAACTTTGATGAAGAAAAGAAATGCAAAAACTCAAAGGATCAACAGGAAAAACGATTACAAAAACTAGGGTTTATGAGAGAGCAGCGGAATATCTGCTGGGTAAAAGGAATATCCGCTAGGTAATAGCATGTACCCCTATTTATAGGAAATACTAGGTTGCCCTAATTGGCTACAGGACAAAATAGAGAGTCGGCGGAGACCAGCTCGACGTGACGTCGAGCCTGCCACGTCGAGTCCATGTGATTCTCAAAGGTGGCGCCTTGGTGTCCAACTCGACGTGACGCCGAGCCTGCGTGGTCGAGTCTGCTCTCAGGCGGCTTCCTGGAATCCTACTCGACGTGTCGTCGAGCCTGCGTGGTCGAGTCTGCTCCCAGGCGGCTTCCTGGCGTCCTACTCGACGTGACGTCGAGCCATGACGTCGAGTCTGCTCCTGGGTGATCTTGAACGACTTCGTTCCTCTCCAATTCGATCCTAAGTCTAGCTCCAAGGTCGTGTTAGTTCCTCCTTGCTCCGTTAAGTCCCAAATAAGCTCCAAAATACCTGAAACTCATCCAATATGCAACATGCTATGCCATGCAATGCAAATCGTACTAAGTGATGAAAATGTTATGAAAAAGGACTATTAATGCAATGAAACAGAGAGGAAACTAAGCTAAATGCATAAGAAATGTGTGCTAAAAAGAGGTAAAATACAGAGATATCAGGAGTATGGCAAACAAAAGAGCATAGATTGACAAAATTATATATAAACAAAATTTTGAACACTTCTTATGAAAATACCTTTAAATTGACAAAGATATTTGGACCGACCATTTTTTGATGGGACTGTTCTTATAATGTGAAACAAAAACTAAATAAAATTATCGGAAACATGTAAAAGAATTATAAAAACTAAATCCAATTATCCAAACTTCTAATTTTTTATATATTTATTTTGTAAATCCTATCAGTTGATCCGGTCAGCCCCAGTAAAAACGTACTGAAGTGTTTCAGAGTGTACTTCTCTCTGAAGGGCCACCACAATATCTGTCCCGAGTTTGGAATGGGTTTTCCGACTAATGTCAGGGAGTAGCTAGATCGTCTGTAACTGGACTACAGGTAAACTGCTGAGACCATTTGGCTCAAGCCCAAATTTGGTTTTAGCGTAGATCGAACTTGGGTTAGTTCCTTCCAACCTTCCTCCAATTTTCAACTACCACTAAACCACAGCTGTGTGGACAAACTTCTATATAAACTCTAATCAAAGATTGATGATCAAACCAATTAATATATAGTCATCAATAAAAATCATCTAGCTGTGAGATATCTTAGGCCTATATTGTAATGGAGAATCCAAAAGAAAATGTATTACCTATCTAATGAGATGATAATAGTTTAAACGAGAAAACGTTAAATTCTTACAGTAATTTTTAAACCCAACAAGCCGTCTTAGGTATCATTTAAGCTCATATACGAGTAACCCTAGTTTTATAAAGTATAAATATAAAGTAAATAAAAATAATTACTGTAAAATAAAAGTAGACGAACTTATTCGTAAAAGCATAATTTATAGTTAAAATATTTAATGTTAAAATAATAAATATGTCCACATACAGATTGTTTGGGTTTGGTCTTTTAAGCCCAATCCACGGTACCAGTGAGATTTGGTTACGATTGACTTAGTCTCTGTTTTCAGTTTTATCGCAAATAACGTGGGAGATTTCCACTAAATCACTTTTCCCTTCTTTCCAAGTTTGTAAGAGTTATGCTCCACATTTGTTTCAAGTTGTTGTAAGGAGGTGATCTCCTAGTATTTATATAAATGAAAAAAGAGGTAGTCATTACTACCCAAAAACAATCGTATTTTAATTTGTTCTTATACAAATTCTCTTGCTTTGAAGAGGGACCATTACTTGGTATCAGAGACGCATACCGACTCGTTACTTTGCTCCCTTTGAGATACTTGCCCGTGTTGGTCCAGTCGTATACCGACTCAAACTTCCGGACGGGACGCGTGTCCACTCTGTCTTCCATGTGCAGTGTCGGCCTAGATAAATATGAGGCCCAATACAAAACAAAATTTTTTTGTGGGCTTTATCGATAAAAGTTAAAACTTGAGACCAACTCTTAAAACTTCAGAAAAATGACACTTATTTTTGCAATAACAAATAGATAAATTTAAAATTTGAGACGAAATCTAAAATTTTCGGAAAATTGAGGCCTATTTTTGCAATAACAAAAACTTTTGGAGCCTAATTTTGTTACTAAAAATCTTCAAAATTTGAGAGGCCCAATACCCATGTATCTTGGGAATATGTGGCGTGTCGGGCTTGTCGATGTGTCTATTCTCAAGAAGCGTGTCAGATCAGATACACCTACGTCAGGTACACTTCCACCACTTCGTGCAAATGGTCAGCTGCGCCTCTATCCGGAACACATCCTGGAGGTCCGTGATGGCAAACAAGTCAGTTAGGTGTTGGTGCAGTGGCGTGACTTACCACGGGAGGAAGCTACATGGGAGGAGTTCGAGCAGCTAGCACAAAGCTTTCCTGCTGCGAACCTTGAGGACAAGGTTCATCTTCCCGAGGGGAGTAATGATGAGTATCTCAGGCCCAATATCACTAATCGGCCCAGACGTCTACGCAAGCCCAATCCACGATATCAGTGAGACTTGGTCACGATTGACTTAGTCTCTGTTTTCAGTTTTATCGCAAATAATGTGGGAGATTTCCACTAAATCACTTTTCTCTTCTTTCCAAGTTTGTAGGAGTTATGCTCCATATTTGTTTCAAGTTGTTGTAAGGAGGTGATCTCCTAGTATTTATATAAATGAAAAAGTCAAAAAGAGGTAGTCATTACTACCCAAAAACAATCGTATCTTAATTTGTTCTTCTACAAATTCTCTTGTTTTGAAGAGGGACCATTAGATTTCTTCAGTTTATTGGTATCTTTTTAAGCGTTAACAAATCGTGGTTTCTTCATCTTCTATTACATCATTTCCAAGAGTTGTGTGTTAGTTGTAGTTGTCTTTTGACCTAGTTCCAAGCATACTCTGTGAAGTAGTCTTCATTGTAAGCGTCGCACTCTATTGTCGTGGTTTTACTCGTCCTTTTCTGTTAGTCACTGTCTCAAGCATTTCTCTTGATTTGTGGTAGGTAGAGTGTTTAATGCTAGATTCGGATTTCATTGCTTGATCTCTCTTATTTCACCACCAGCCTTTATCAGTCTCCAAAAATATTTGGTTATCCATATTTTATGAGATTATCTCGTCAATTGCCAGGTTTCTAACTTTTATCATGGTCTTATAATATATCCTTTAGACCAAAGAAATTAATGTCCATATACTCTACAGTATATTAATGATTGCACTACTAGCAGGGTCATCTCTGTGTTGTAGGCTTGTAGCCCATTATTTGCTGGTTCAAAGTTCAAAGTTCTAGTCCTGGGCATTCGGTTTTTTCGGGTTATTCGGATCGGTTTTTTCGGTTTTTCGGTTTTTTCGGTTATCAAAAATTTTGCCGAATTGAACCGAATAAAAATTCGGTTCGGTTCGGTTCGGCGTTCGGTTACAAGGTTTTAAATCAATTCCGAAACTAACCGAACTGATTTCTATTTCGGTTAATTTGAACCGAAATAGACCAAATCCAACAAAAAACGACAATAATATTACAAACCAGTTTCTACTTCAAGTCTAAGCAATAAAAGTTCATAAGAGAAGCATAACATAACCCAAAACATCCAAATTTAAGTCTGATTGAAATAAAGAGGAGAGTCATAAGTGCAACTTCTGAAAATAGCAAAATACCAAGCCAAAGGCTTCAACTTCTGGTTCCTATCAAGGCAAGAAACAACGATGCTGCATTCACAAAAGAGAAAACATTCATAAATCATAACTTAGGGACTGATATTACAAGAAATAAAACAGAAACAAATAAATTAGATTCATGATTCATACCATACATTCCATTTCATTCCAAGATGAAGATCACTGAGAAGGTGCTATTGAATTCCGAGAATCTACACAAGAAAAATCTGACTTTGTTATATCAATTATAAATGAAAAGACAGAATATCGAATGTGAAATCATACTTACCATTTCATGATTGAGGAATTGGCTCAGAGTCCATGTCGATGTGATCTTCAGAAGACATCTACAGAGAAGAAGTAAAAAGAGATGTAAAAATCAGACATCAAACTAAAACAAAACAACAATATTAAATGACTAAATCATATTAAACAAAACATCAAACACCCAAAACGACTAAATCAGACATCAAATTAAACAAAACATCAAAGCCCCAAATCGAAAATTTGATGAATTAGGGTTTATACTAGAGACAACCAAATTAAACGGCTAAATCTCCACACAAACATTAAAGACTTCAAATTTCATTAGATATAAAACAGCTAAACAGACATCAAAACCCCAAATCGAACATTGAAACAACAAATCCCCAAATCGAAAGTTTGATGAATTAGGGTTTACACTACAAACAACAAAATCAAACGACAAAATCCCCACACATACATTAAAGACTTCAAATTTCATTAGATTTAACAACAAGGAAGGAGGAAGACCTTACAATTTCGAGACTTTGATGGTTTAGGGTTCGAGTCGATTTGATAGTTTCCTTCGAATCGATCTGGGGCTTTGAAAATTTAGGAATCGAGTTACAAGAAACAGAGGTTAGAGATGAATGAGGGAGATCGAAGATTAAGAAGAGATTTGGTGTTTCTCTTTTTTTTCTCCTTCGAAATCGTGAGAGAAAGAGAGTGAAGTCGTGAGAGAGAAAAAAATGAGACGCTGCGAGGGAGAGAGATAAGAGTCTTAGGGTTAAGGTCTCTTGGTTTGCGGTTAACCGATCGGTTACCGTGTGCCGAACCGAACCGATTAGATAACCGATCTAAATTTAAGAATCAGCCGATCGGTTTTCTATTTTGAAGTGAAGGAAAACCGAAACCGAAAAATTCGGTTTGGTCGGTTCGGTTTTCTTCGGTCCGAACCGTTTGCCCAGGCCTAGTTCAAACTTTGTTTTCTTCACTTTGTTTTTCTTGTTTTCTTTTCAAGTAATGGCCTGATGGATAAAAACTTTTATTTTGGGCTTCTTCACCAGAAGAGCCGGCCTAGAATGAATTTAATTGGCTGTGTAAACAGAAACAAACTGTCTGTTATTGGCATAATTCAAGTTTATGTTTTGTAGATTTCCCACTACATGTTGTTCTGTATTGTGCATAATGCACATAAATAATATATTAAAAATAAATTGGAGACATTTGATATAACAAGTAAGTCGGCAATTAGTGTGACGTTTGCAACTAAAACTTGCCGACTTACTTAGCTATAGCTAAATATAAAAGTTTTACATGTTCACTAATTTGATCTAGCTACTATATTATTAGCCTAAGAACGTATCATAGCTATAGGTTACGAAGTGGCCACTAAACAAATTGTGGCCAAATAAATTGGAGACATCTGCTCAACGTCAGAAATTAGTGTGACGTTTCTCGTCTTTAATGGAATACAACAATTTCAAATTTTGTTGTTTGTTTATATTTTTATTTGAATTTCTTTATATAGTATATTTATCTCCAAATACTTTACAATTTTATAATTTTAAATTTTTTACGAATAAAATATAATAGTTTGTACTAAAAATATAACTAGCCTAAATAATATCATGGATAAATATAAAAGTTGGCCACAATTTTATTAGTGGCCACTTCGTAACCTATAGCTATGATACGTTCTTAGGCTAATAATATCTAGATCAAATTAGTGAACATGTAAAACTGGCCATTGATTTTTATTGGTTTTATCTGAGACCACTTAGCTACCAAAAATTATTAAACGAATAGTAAAGAATTTTTGTTACTATGCTTTAGTGGCAAGTTCGAAGTACAAAAAAACAAGGTTCGAATTCAAGTTTCGCCTCTAAGAAACCGTAGCTATATGTAAAATATGTCCATTGCCAAATTATGGTATAGAATGTTTTCGACGCATGTCCGACGAAATTTCAAAAGATGAAACTGTGGTTGAGATTTCGTCGGAAAGTTTACCAAATTTCTGACAAACCATACTTTGTCGGAAGTTGGTCAGAAATTTCCGACAAAATCTGGTAGTAAAACATTGGTAGGATGTTCGTCAGTAAAACAGTTGGAATGTGTAAACTTAATAGCTATTCTACATTAATATAGCCCGACTAATTTCCGATGAATATAGTGGTAGAAACTTATTTGGATTGTTGTTGTTACCAGTCATCCATTATATAAAGCACGAATTTCAAACGAAACGGATAGGTGGGTCGTCAAAAATTCGACGAAAATCGTTTTTGTTTAAAACGTGTTCTATAATTAATTATTTTTATCGACACAAAATTCAGGCTATTTTCATTAGAAAGTAAAATTTGGACATAAATTAAAATGAACCATTTGCCTGCAAACAAACGATCCCACTGCCTAAGATATTAGTATGATATTTTCCGAGTTTATAGCAATGTAAAAGCTAAAACTTAAAACAATGTGGCTAGTCGAATAAGAAAACTAATGTAAAGGATTAGTTTCAATCCGAACTAAGGATATATTCGCATCTTATATGTTGTTTGGTAAAAGATTCGAGATCTCAAATACAAAAATTTGAGTAAAATTGATAGATGTAGAGATCTTGTAGATGATTGTAACACTCAGGTTTCAAAAAATATGGTAGTGTATGTGGAGATGTTTTAAAAAATTGATTTGGACATCTATGTCACCAAAGTGTACTTATCTTTTTGGTCAAACACACAGAGAGAATTCCATAGTTAAGCGTGTTTATGCTGGAATAATTTTAGGTAGGGTGACCTTTCAGGAAGTGATTGTCGGAACCGTGTAAGCGAAAACAAAACACGGAGAAAGATCACGTGGTGATTTGTAGGATCGGTAAACAAAAGCCTCCGCGGACCGGCCGTTCGACCATCAAACACGGATGGGCTCACGAGCCGAGAAAGGACGTGGAACCCATTAAAGATTTCAGTCGGGCGTTATAGTAATTTTATATGTGAAGATAAAATTAATCATTTTACATAAAAAAAAATATCATCGAATATTGATTAAAATTTTAGACTTTTTTATTCTACAAATTTTGAAAACATTTATAGAATTTATTTGAATTGAGTTTGTATGTTGAGTTGTATTTAACCTTTCTAGCTGGTCATTAAGTAGCATGCACATAAACTTGATAGTAATATCTCATATATGAGGAATAGGTCAGCTGATTTGTGCTAATTAACTGATTACGTGCAGTTCACCTGCGTTCGGATTGGTGATGACAATATTATTTCTTTGAATGAAGTATTGATGCGGTCATCGAAGAGGAGACTCCAACTTTGACATCCACATTTATTGAGGAGGAAACCGATGCACGAAACCTAAAGACGACAACTAGCCGAGTGGAGCCGCCAAGTTTGTCTCTACGACCGATAAAGGGAGTTCGTGGACAAACGTTCAAGCGACGTATGGACTTGTTCATTTCGGTAACGATTAACGAAGTCCGCTTATCCGCAGCAAACCGAAGAAGAGTCAAAGCTTGTTCTCTTGGTCCAACACAAATAAATGCTACCTAAAGAAGTCTAAGAGGATTCTTATAAATTAGTCTAATACTCCTATATAGTTAGTTTTTCAGATTTCTAAACTAATCATTTTGATTTTAGAAGGCTTTTACAAGGCTTTGTATTTGGAAACAAGTTTGATTAATAAAATCTTAGATTGTTCATCTCGTTTGGTTCACTTCGAACTATCTCTAGCCAAGTGGAGATTGGATCCTTAAAAGTTTCTTAGAAAGTATCCGTGAATTTCTACTATCGTCGTGGTGTCCGGCGATTCCCCCAACGAATTCAACCTCTAGTTTGATTTTGTAACAATTACTACATCTTTCTCTTACACACCTTTGAAGGTGTCAGAGAAACTCACGTATAAAGGTTTTCTATGTTATTATTCATACAAGCCAAAGAGGCACAATTTATACAAGAGAATAATGACCTAATTAGCTAACCTAATTATACAAGTAAAAGACCATTAAGGACAACTAATATATACACCAATACCCCCCCTCAAGTTGGAGCATGAAGATTGAGAATGCCCAACTTGTCTTGAAATGCCAAAAATTCCCGAGCTCCCAACGCTTTAGTAAAAATATCGGCAAGCTGACCCTCAGTAGGAACATGTTGAGTAGCGATTACTCCTGCCACTATCTCGTCTCGTATAAAATGACAATTGGATTCAACATGTTTAGTCCGTTCATGAAAAACGGGATTAGCCACAATATGAAGAGCAGCTTCATTGTCACAAAATAGAGACATAGGTGACGAATGCATAACTCCAAAATCTCGCAAGCATGCCTTTATCCAGAGCAACTCCTTAGTAGTATCTCCCATGGCTCTATATTCCGCTTCAGCCGAAGACATGGAGACCCGATCATGCTTCTTTGTACGCCAAGAAATCGGAGAGGATCCCAACTGAATAAACCATCCCGTCAATGAGCGCCGAGTAAGAGGGCACCCTTCCCAATGAGAGTCACACCATCCACGAACATGTAAATCACAATCAGAACTAAGAAGTATGCCTTGGCCTGCAGTACCTTTTAAATAACGAACGACTCTCAAAGCCGCATCCCAATGGTCCTGGCGCGGAACCTGCATAAATTGTGACAAGATATGGACGCAATATGCAAGGTCCGGACGCGTAACAGCCAAATATATCAACCTTCCAACTAAACGCCTATACCGTTCTGGATCCTTAAGGATTTCACTCTTTGATACCGCTAATTTATGATTTTGGTCCAAAGGAAAATTGACCGGCTTGGCACCCATAAGACCAGTTTCAGAAATAATATCCAACGTATATTTTCTTTGTGTCAAATAAATTCCCTCAGTATTCCTCGCAATCTCAATCCCTAGAAAATACTTGAGAACGCCCAAATCTTTCATATGAAAACATGAACTCAAGTAGTCTTTGAATCTTTTTATTGCAGCGTGGTCATTATCCATGATGGCCAAATCATCAACATACACCAAAATGTAAAGTTGAACCCCGTCTCGGATAAATGAGAAAAGAGAATAATCAGACCTGGATTGGGTAAAGCCATAAGCTGTCAAAGCCGCTGTCAACTTAGCAAACCAACATCTCGGAGCCTGTTTCAACCCATAAAGAGATTTGCGTAAACGACAAACACGAGAAGGCGAATCAGTTTTAAAACCAGGAGGAAGTTTCATGTACACTTCTTCTTTCAAATCACCATGAAGAAAAGCATTGTGTACATCCATCTGATGTAATTCCCAATTCCTAGCTGCAGCAATTTGAAGAAAAATTCGAACAGAGACCATCTTAGCAACTGGAGCAAATGTCTCTTTATAATCCAAACCTTCCACTTGTCGATTTCCGCAGACAACAAGTCTAGCCTTATATCGCTCAATTGACCCATCCGAACGATATTTGATTGTAAACACCCACTTACAATAAAGAGCTCTTTTCCCAAATGGTAAATCCGCAAGATCCCATGTTCTACTCTCTTGCAATGAACCAACCTCTTTCTGCATGGCATTACGCCAATGTTCATATTTCATGGCATCGGCAAAGGATGTTGGTATATAGTTCTCAGTCACTGCCACCAAAAATGCTCGATGAGCCTCTGAGAACCTGCTATAGTCAACATAATTAGAGATAGGATACTCAACTTGAGATTGTGTCAATGGTTTTTCAACAACGTATCCTTGAAGGCGAACCGATGGTATCTTCTGTCTACATCCGCGACCAAGTTTTTCTTCCTCTGGAATA